AACTAATTATTCGATTTATTATATATTAACACCATTGCACATTTTTTTTAACACTGATAATACTTATGCATATTTTTTTAACACTGATAATACTTACGATTCTGTCGTCCCCATCCAAAGATCATTAAAATATTTTGCAACTTTTCATTTTTCAATGGTAAACATATTGGTCGTACTTTATCGGTAAATACAAATGGTTGTTCAACTTCAATAATCGCCCAATCATGACCTTTTGTACAATTTTCACGAATGAAATCGTTATCAATAACAACTGTACGAATCTGTGCAATGAAAAAAATAAAAATAAAATCAGACATAATATGCAAACATATAGTTTGATGGTAAAATTAATTAATAGGAATAGTGTGACTGATTATATATTAAGTATCTGGAAATTCGAATAGTATTACTTTTTTAATCAATCAAATTTTGTATGCAAAAAGGAATCCAATAAATTTAATTTCAAATAATATCATTACAAAAAAGAATCCAATAATATTTAATTCACGATTATGCGGGATAAATTATTACTATGTTAGCTATGTTAGTTAGTAATAAAACAATAAAATTTAATTAATGAATAATCGAAAAATTTGTTTTGTTGAAATTGCTAAAAAAAGACGAAATTATTGCTTATTTAAAAATTTTATACTGTGTTATCGAATACATCTGCTTCTTCGCATATCGGATCATTTGTTTTATGAGCTGTAAAACCACGAATACATTTGCCACCAAATAAAATTTTACGATCTAATAATTCGGTAATACTACGATATGTATTAACTCTGAAATTTTATTCATTCAATTAATAAATTATCGAATTCAATAAGCAACAAAAAAAGGAAAAAGCTAACTGCAATATCATATTGTTTCGAATTTTGCTGCAAAAAAAAAATCATAAGTTGGAATAATAAAAGAAAAAAACAATTATAGTGATGAAAAGATAAAAGATACAATTTACAAAATGAAACAAAATAAACCAATGGTTATCATAAAAAATTTAACTAATCAAAAGCTAGAATTTCACAAAGAATAACCAAAAAAATTGAAATAATTTTAAAAAAAATAGAGCAAAATGCAACGTAATGTATTGTTATAAAGTGGAAAATAATAAAGAACACTAATATTTCAGTGAAAAGTTCAAATAAAAGTTAGTTTAAAGGAAAAATTAAGAAAAAGTTAAGATATTACCTTTGATCGATAGAAAATTATTAACTCAAATGATAGGCTACAAAAAAAATTACTGTAATTTAAAGTTTAATTTTTACTTTTATCTTTTCTCCACCGATTTTTACTTTTGCCGCTTGTTTATTTCTATTGTTTATTAAAGTAATAACAAATTTAGCACTTAATTTTAATTGTCGAAAATCCATGAAATGAAGAAAATTACCAACCTGCATGGGATGAAACTGTGCCCGTCGAAATTAACAAATGGATGTGCTGCAGTAAGAATATGATACGATGATATGATAACACCACCAAGTTTATTTGTACCCTTTATAAAATACCTTTTAGAAAGAAACAACAAAAAATAATTAAATTTTTCAAAATTTTAGAGATTCGTTTGAAATTTCAGGATTTCGTTAAAAATTTATGCATTCCCTAAAATACTTGAAATATTGAAATTTCTCAAAAAAAAGAATTTACATGTTTCGTTTTTTTTGTCTTTTTTTCCTAATATTTTATTAAATACTTAAATTTTAACTAAAATTTTGATAACATAATGTTGTAAGTATGACGACGAAAATAGCGATTGTATGCGTAATATTACAGCATTTAATTAACTATTTAGACTTTTGCTTCTTTCTTTGTTTTTCGTTTTTTTTAACCAATTAAAATTTAATGGAATGAAAATTGTGCTGAAATTTTGAACTGAAATAAAATAAAAAATGAATGAAGGAAAAAGAAATATGATAAAATTTCAAACTGGTTCTTCTCTGATAAGAAGGTTAACTGTGAGAAATTACTCGGGGAAAAAAATTATTATTGTCATTCTTTTACATTTTCCCAATGATAATTTGATACAGTGATTGTAATTATTATTAAATTTTTGTGCATGATATTTGAAATACTCACATTTAAAGCTATGGAAACAGCCCATGGATAATTGAATAATCCATGAAAAGAAGTCTAAAAATGCTATAAATTAGAAGCAAAGCAACAGTATTATTCATTGAAATATTTTGAATTTATCAGAACTCTTCATTTTGTTGCAATAATAATTTCATACAATTACTACGGAATCATATTTGTCCAATTAGTGTGGGATTGTAATACAAGAATTTAAATTGGAACAATTAATTTCATATGGAAAAATAACACAATGCTCATTAGCATCATCAAAATTAACTGACCCTGTTAATTAGTAAAAATTATTATTGCTAAATGATCGGATTTAGAAAGTCCTTTACGTGACATTACCGAAAAATAGAACTAGGATTGAGGAAAGATAAAATATCGCAGAAAGAAAAATTAATTAATTAAAAATAAGCTATTAAAAAAAATTAAGCCATAAATTTACAAAGTAGTATAAAAATTTAAAACAAAAAATTTAATGAAAAAATTTATTTAAATTAATTTTTTTATGTTGAAATACCTTTCCGCAAATAGTCGCCAATAATTTATTCTCCAATGGCTCAATTTGACGTATTTTTGGCTCTAAAAAAGAAAAAAAAAACTCATTGTGACATTAAATTTCATGAGACAAATAACAATGATTATGCTAAAGAGTTGAATTAAATGATATAAATGATTAATTTTGACATTTCTGTTAGAACAAGAAATTTTGATAATCTTTGATAATAATTGTTAACCAAAAGAAAAAACAGATAAAAAACCGGCGAAAGTTTTTTAAAAAAATCGAAAAAAGTAGGAAAATAAAATTGAAGTTTAATAATCACCACTTAGCAATAAATGAATAAAAACAATAGAGGAAAAAGTTGTTTGCCAAAAAAAATTCGCTAAAATTGACAAACATAAAGGAAAATAATAAAATGCTTGACAGAAAAAAAAAATTTTGCAAAAACTGTTTATTAAACAGAAATTATTTACTTAAAAAGCTTCGCATAAAAATTGTAAACAATAATGGAAAAGAAAATTTTGTTAAAATTTCTTATTCAAAAAGTTTGCAAAAATATTTTTGTAAAGGTAGTTAAAATTTAAATTCATTAATTAATTACCTTTTGTAACGCTAATATATGCAAAACGAAATTTGGCAATAACATTTTGTTGAAACAAACAATTAGCAATGAGGAATAATAGCAGACGAAATAATATTTCAAAATGGTTGACAATAATGCACATAATGTTCATATCGTATAAACCTGCTCGTTTTAATTGTTTGTTTGTTTGATTGATTTTTATTTATCACTTTTTCCCTCTCTCTCTCTCTCTCTCTCTCTCTCTCACTCACTCAATCATTCTTCTTTCCTTCTATTATTATTGTCAAATTTCATCCAAAATCATTAAATAATGGAAATTTTTTAATTTTTTTTTACTAGGAAATCAACAAAATGTTTTATAAATTAGTTAATTTGCATCTTTTTTGGGTGAAAAATTTTTTTGAAATGATTAAATACTTTTGTTTTCTTTTTTGATTAATGGGATAAAATTGTAAACGGTTAGTAATTATAACAACACGAAGAGAAAGTAATGATGAATGGAAAGAAAGGTATGGCGGTAAAATCATTTGTTAATCGTTTAAACAAAAGAAAGGGAAATAAAAGGTCACTGATAGGTCAAAAATAGTGAATAAAAGATGATTGGCAGGGAAGGTGGCAGGCAATAAAGTGTTGGTTTTGATGCACGAATATTGATAATATTTATCAATTAAACATAGTTTTGTCAATAGCATTACAATTTACCTAAATATAAGAAATAAAATTCTGAAACTTTCTTTGAATTTTAAGTATTAAAGATTACAATTAATAATGTAACTATTGATAAATTATGAATATCATTACTTTAATTTGGTAATATTACAAAAAATACAAAAAAAAAAAAGCTTCAGGGAAAGAAATAAGAATAAAGTGGAAAGGTTAACTTCTTTCACAATGGTAAATTAACAACTGAATTCAATTATAGTTTCAAGGAATTAAATAAAAGGATAAAATTTGAGAAAAAAACATAAGTTTTACTATATGGCTCTAAAACCGTTGTGATTAAAATTGAATGAAATTACATGAAACTAGAAATGTTTTATAATTTGACAGCAATGTAAATCAGATTCTCATACATAATTAAATGGCAAAAATATAAACTGATGGGAAATAAACTAAAATGAAGAAAATTTTTGAAAAAAAAAGTAAGTGATGAAAATTAGAAATATTTGCATTTTCAAATAGTTATGCAAAAAAATGAGGAGAAAAAACAGCAAAATTTGAGAAGAAAAAAACAGAATGTGTAAATTCGATGAATCGTTCGGTTGTTATTACAGTTGTGTTGATATTTTGTCAAATTAATCGGTATAATTTCACGAAATGTGATCGATTCTAATTTTATTTCCATGTAGCTAAATTTTTACACAATTTTATTTGGTTCAAAAATTTTCTTACTTCTTTGTGAATTTTTAGAGAGAACAAGAGGAACAAAAATAGATATTTATTTTTGCTAAAATAGAATAAATAACAATTTATTCTTTGAATTATAATAAAATTTAATCTTTAAGGTAAATTGCAATTTAATTTTTAATATTATGTAGTTTTTTCTCCTCTCCCATTTTTCCACTTCAGTAAATTATTTGCATTCCTTTGGTTCAAAAGTTCAGAGGATTATTTACAAAGATGTAGCTTTGAAGCTCATTTACAGCAGCATCAAAGTTATTATCGAGAATTTAAAGGTATTAAATGCGTTAATTCAAAATTAAATACTTCACATTAATGCCAATTTAATACTGAATATTTCATTTCAAGTATTATTTTCAAATTGAATAAATTGCATTATTAATCCATAATTGAAAAGCATGTTAACCTAAAGTTAAATACATTGCATTAAAGCAAGGTAAATATATGAACAACATTATTTGATATTTTAATTATCCATTTCGATGTAGTGATATACTGAATATATTGTATTGATTACATTATGGTGATATATCTGATAAATTAGATGTTCGATATATTAATGATTAGCGATTGAAGATTTGCTACCATGGTTCAAATCAGATATATCAATGACAACAATGATTCGCCGATATTTGAGTGATTGCTTTCCAGCTGATGAAAAAGCCAACGATCCGACCGTAACAGCTGCCTTATCTGAACTGTATGCAAATAAAATATAAAAAATTAGACTGATTGAATATGACAGATTTTAGCCTCATATAATCTAATTGATAAAAATGTTAAGAACTTTTTTGCTAAAATATTGATATAATTTGAAATACATTGATAGATCATATGTTAGATTACTAGATTGATCTGATTTGAAATTTATTGATAGATCACATTGCTGAATTCTGGATTGATCTATTGATCTAAGTTAAAATGCGCTATTACAACTTAACATTCATGCAAATTAACAGTAAATAACTGTTGATAATTTCAGTAGTTTCCCAGACTACTACGACACATCAATGCCACTCGGATTATTTCGAATTAATCAAGCAATTCAAAATTTCTCTATTCCTATAAAAAATAAAATTTCAGTAATGCCGGATTATATCAACGTTGGTATTTTTTGAAAGATATAAAAATTTTCTCCCTTTTTGATCACCTAAAAAATCTTCCATCATTCTTCTACGTTTTTTTTTCTGTAGAAAAGAAGTACATGAAAGATGACGATGCTGTAAACGAACGTTAACGTGTTAAATATTAATAATTCATTGTTGAATATGTAAGCAAATAAAAATAACAATAAACCATTTGAAGTTTATGCGATCAATTTATATTTCAAAGAATAAAATTCCAATATAAATTCAATTTTTAGCTTCGCAAGGAAATGTTAGCAGATGAGCAACAACGTGCAGGATATACCATCCATAAGCGATTATATTTTCGGAATCTTGTTCACCTAGGCAAAGAGTAAGTTAATGATTAGCATATTTTACTATAATTTCATTCGATCAAAATTTTAAAATTTTGAAAATTAACAAAAAAAATTAATACTTGAAAATTTAAGAATACTACAATTTTATCTCCATGCTTTTTTTCCTTATAAAATAATTTTTAACTATTCTTTTGACAACCAATAGGCTTATTGCAATCGAAATGTAATTTGAAATCAACAAAGCGAAAAAAAATTAATACAAATTAATCGATTTAATTAATGGAATTTGTCTACCAAATTTTTTATAAAATATAAACTTCACTCCACCAGAATATTTTATTATTGCAATCGAAATTTAACTTAAAATTCATGTGGTTAAAAAATCAACATTATACATTAATTTAATTAATGTAACTCGCTCAGTAATCTTTGCTCTAAATGTAAATTGTATTCAATTATTGTTTAAAGTTGTGAAAAAGAAAACGCGCCGTTTGTGTTTGGTAATCAGCGAATTGTTTCATTAATGCATGAAAGAAATATGCCTTTTGAAGTAAGCTTTTCCAATTTTTTTCCTGTTGTTAATTAATTCCACAAAATTTAAGGAAGTAATCATTAATTTGCTAGCATACATGCTAACCATAATATTCATTCATGCTACGAAGAAGATAGAGTTTTCACTGGAATGAAATATATGCAAAATGCAAAAGCATCATATAGCCATTCAACAAATAATCTTTTAAATTTCACAATTTAAATTTACTCAGTCGGTTAATAATCAACTTTTTTCAGTGGTTAAATTATTTTATTTACCAATACTATTTCAAAGTTTAAAAATTTTTTTTAAAGCAATTTATAAATCAAAATGAAGAGTTTTAAATTTTACTGAAAAGAATGCTTATGTTTGCAGGTACCATGTTTTACTTGCTTAAAGAAGCTACCATCAGCTAATATTGTTAATGCTTTTTATATTCTTCCACGGAGGTTTAAATTTCAACAGATTCAAATTTAATCAATTTTTTTCGAACGTTTTTAAAATATAATCAATTATTAATGAAAATTCTGAATTAATTGCTTTAAAAGCTTTTAAAATGTTTTTAAGCTATTTTAAGCTATTAAAAGATTAGTAAAACGAAGTCGTATTACAGTTAGTTTGCGTAAATAAGTATTTGCTATACATTTGCAATCATCATTTATAACTTCAATAAGTTCATATATGTTTGAAATTGGAAAAACTTAGTTTTAAATACATTTTCGCATTTAAAAAATTGTTCACAAAAATTATTAAATTCCTTCAAATTACTTATTGATCATATTGATATAAATGAATTGAATAGAACAAATTATAAAAATGACATTGCATGTGACGCAATTATAGTGGAAAAGTGAGATTTGTATAATATAAAATGGATTTTATTACATTTCAAGTATCTTTTAACAATTTTGAACGAGGGTAGTTTAAATTTGACAAAGTACTTAAATAAATTAATTGATATAAATCCTTTACCAATGATTTATTAGACTTAGTTGTTTACAATTCAATCAAAATAATATAAATGAAATAACTTCAAAATAAGTACCAAAATTTAACATTAATACTTTCACAACCGATTTTTAACAATACTACAGGATTTCTGTTTTTTCCTTTTCGTACAAATTCTGCCACAGAAATATATCAAAATTTTTTTTTGCATCTAAATTTTTAGGGATGTTTTTGCGCCAATTCCATTTCGCCAACGTATGGAAGCTTTTTCTGCATATGAATTTGATATACAAAAGGAGGATGAAAGCAGAAAAGAAGAAGAAATTAGCAAACATTTACCAATTCCTTCAACAATAACAACAACTTCAGCATTATTTGAAAATCAAACTCATACAACAACAATGAAAATGACCACAAAAATGATCCGAAAAGAAAAGAAATTGCAAAAACGACAATATCATCGAATTCCGTTTGCTGCATTTTTATACAATTTCGCCACTAAAAGTTAATATTACAAATATTGTAACAGGAACTTTGTTTTTTTCTCCTTTCTTTTAATCTTTCCTGGTTTCAAAGTTCCTCTTTTACTACTACTTTATTAT